GGCATACAAGCAATGGGAAAATAAATCTGATTAATTCACCAATATTCACTAAATGGGAGAGGGGGAGCATTTTGAATCTGACTCAATTATATAAAAAAATACAAATTATGAACACAAATTTTAGATTCCTAGAAAACGGTGAGAAAATTTCTAACCTCGCCAGTGAAACACTCTATTGGAGTAACACAAAGACATCCATCAACGAAATTCAATTCAGTGTTTTTACATGGAAAAATCCCTTGCATATGAACACCTCAATAGGCGCAGAACCTAGAACACCCTGCCAGGGTATTTGTAACCATATTTATCATTCAACTATATGTCCAAAACATAGTTCGGTTTTGTAGCGTTTTCATATTTACTGGTTTGCCTGTAATTACACAGCAGGCTTTTTAGCAGCTCTCTATAAACGAGTTGCCATTTTAAAATTCATGTTTTTAATTTTCAGGTTGAGAGATTTACACAATGAAGCCCAATTTTGCAGGATTGTGGCAGGCTGAGACGTCTGAAAATCTAGAGAGAATCTATAAAAACATGGGAATAATAGGAGATGCTCTAGAAATAGCTATAAATGAATCACCAAAGATTGAAATCAGACAAAGTGGAGAGTATTTCTACATAAAAACTGAGTCTAAGGTAGTTGGGAAGGTTGAGGTATCCTTCAAAGTGGGTGAGATATATGAGGTGCCAGACCACAGGTGGCGAAATATGAAACACAAAACCAGCTGGGTCGGTGGAGGAAAGAAACTGCAAATCAGGCCACTGAATGGTAGTGGATCTGATCCAATTCATGTGTATGAAATGATTGGAGATGACAAACTTGTTATGTATCTACATGCTCTGGGAGAAACAGCAAAACAGACATTTGTAAAGCAGACAGACAAAGACAAATAGTCTGTGTACCTTCCAAGTCTACTACAGCGGTGCTTGAGTGTGGTTCAACGCACTGTACAATCATATTACTCATCTGATAACAGTTTCTCATACAATTACGGACAGTAAGGAGATCCATCCATATTGTAGAAAAGCTGCATGGTTGTTGAAACAACAGCGCCCCTTAGTAGTAGATCAACTAATTTTTATAGCATCTCAGTTTCAGTATAAACTGACATGTTTTATTTGCAGAATATGATTGAGTGCAGGTAATGACAATGTTGTAATTTTGACATTACATAAATAAATGTAAAAAGTTCACCGTAATGAAAAATGATTATTTTTTTGTTCATCTAATAGTACATATCATTTCAAATATCTATAGTTTGTAGTACTGTAGGTTGAGATAGTTTCTAGTAATATGGCTATACACACCTAATCCACCTTACACATCAGGACTTTTGTACAACATTTTGCCTGTTTTTGTGTGTGTATTTTACTATTATTTCTTAAAAATATTTTTGAACCAAATGAGCATATTTCCTATTGGATACACTCTTTATCAACATTTATGACTTTGACGCTCAAAGGGTCAACAACTAAAACCAGCCACTGATTAAAATAATCAGGTAAAAATAATCAGCATTGGTCAGCATTGGTCAGCATTGATTCATATGACACATTGACCACCAAGAGTATTGATGTAGAGCCCCTATGAGCAGTCTGTCTGATGCAGAGAAAAGACAGGACAGACAACACATGGAAACAACACATGGAAACACAGTAAGACAGGAGACAACACATGGAAACACAGTAAGACAGGAGACAACACATGGAAACACAGTAAGACAGGAGACAACACATGGAAACACAGTAAGACAGGAGACAACACATGGAAACACAGTAAGACAGGAGACAACACATGGAAACACAGTAAGACAGGAGACAACACATGGAAACACAGTAAGACAGGAGACAACACATGGAAACACAGTAAGACAGGAGACAACACATGGAAACACAGTAAGACAGGAGACAACACATGGAAACACAGTAAGACAGGAGACAACACATGGAAACACAGTAAGACAGGAGACAACACATGGAAACACAGTAAGACAGGAGACAACACATGGAAACACAGTAAGACAGGAGACAACACATGGAAACACAGTAAGACAGGACAGACAACACATGGAAACAACACATGGAAACACAGTAAGACAGGAGACAACACATGGAAACACAGTAAGACAGGAGACAACACATGGAAACACAGTAAGATAGGAGACAACACATGGAAACACAGTAAGACAGGGGACAACACATGGAAACACAGTAAGACAGGAGACAACACATGGAAACACAGTAAGACAGGGGACAACACATGGAAACACAGTAAGACAGGAGACAACACATGGAAACACAGTAAGACAGGAGACAACACATGAGAACACAGTAAGACAGGAGACAACACATGAAAATACAGTAAGACAGGAGACAACACATGGAAATACAGTAAGACAGGAGACAACACATGGGAACACAGTAAGACAGGAGACAACACATGAAAATACAGTAAGACAGGAGACAACACATGGAAATACAGTAAGACAGGAGACAACACATGGAAACACAGTAAGACAGGAGACAACACATGGAAACACAGTAAGACAGGAGACAACACATGGAAACACAGTAAGACAGGAGACAACACATAGAAACACAGTAAGACAGGACAGACAACACATGGAAAGACAGGAGACAACACATGGAAACACAGTAAGACAGGAGACAACACATGGAAACACAGTAAGACAGGAGACAACACATGAAAACACAGTAAAACAGGAGAAAACACATGGAAACACAGTAAGACAGGACAGACAACACATGGAAACACAGTAAGACAGGAGACAACACATGGAAACACAGAAAGACAGAAGACAACACATGGAAACACAGTAAGATTGAAGACAACACATGGAAAGACAGTAAGACAGGAGACAACACATGGAAACACAGTAAGACAGGAGACAACACATGGAAATACGGTAATACAGGAGACAACACATGGAAACACAGTAAGACAGGAGACAACACATGGAAACACAGTAAGACAGGAGACAACACATGGAAACACAGTAAGACAGGAGACAACACATGGAAACACAGCAAGACAGGAGACAACACATGGAAACACAGTAAGACAGGAGACAACACATGGAAACACAGTACGACAGGAGACAACACATGGAAACACAGTAAGACAGGAGACAACACATAGAAACACAGTAAGACAGGACAGACAACACATGGAAAGACAGGAGACAACACATGGAAACACAGTAAGACAGGAGACAACACATGGAAACACAGAAAGACAGAAGACAACACATGGAAACACAGTAAGATTGAAGACAACACATGGAAAGACAGTAAGACAGGAGACAACACATGGAAACACAGTAAGACAGGAGACAACACATGGAAATACGGTAATACAGGAGACAACACATGGAAACACAGTAAGACAGGAGACAACACATGGAAACACAGTAAGACAGGAGACAACACATGGAAAAACAGCAAGACAGGAGACAACACATGGAAACACAGTAAG